GCCAGGACATTTGTGTGTACCAGTTGTAAGCTCCCAACAGCCTCTTCTTACTAACTTCTGTTCCTCCTCTTCAACTTGATATATCTCAACCACCAGTACCTGGATGAAAAGACACTAATTGACATTGTCGTAAATGATGCACACTTACCTCCTGAAGGTAAGTAACAGCTATGGCAGATCCTAGAGTCAGCCCCTCAAGTTTATACCCTTCGTCCAGGACGTACTGAAGTACTACAGCATCACATACCACCCACCAGGTGCCTATAAAACAATGACCGTACAACACCAGAGCCGCCAAACAAGCGGTAATATAATATAAACAAATAATATTTGTTTTAGCTGTCAATATTATTTAATGGACCTGAGCTGACATAAATTAACAAAGAAAAGTTGTCTTTTAATTAAAGTTAACTAAGATTAATAAATACTGTAACAAATGTATTGCTCATTGTTGGTTAATTTTTGTTAATGCATTATCTGATGTTAACTAATAGAACCTTATTGTAAAGTTTTACCAAAGAGTCACTATATGAAACAAATACATTTTATTATCATAAAATTGTAAAAATATGAGCCTTATAAAACTCTGTTAAAACAAAACATCACAACTATTGGAGTCTAAAAACACATTTTAGCATGCGTAACAACACAAACCTAACCATAAACTCTGGTCACCTAACAAGGCACAATATTTAATTGAATTACTTATAGAATAAATAAATATTAAACAAATTATATATAAAATAAATAGGAAATAAAACACTCACAGAAATCACAAGTATGTTGTCACGGCTTGGCAGAAGAAACAGGCAGACGAAGATAATTCCAAAAGAATACAAGGTTTTAATGTAACAGCTTTAGACATAAAACATGTACACACAAACAATACGGGAGAATATATACAGAGGGTGAATGATGGAACTAACTAGTTACAGGTGGAAGAAGGTTAACTAATCAAGGATAAACAGGAACAGGTGCAGACAAGACAGAACATGACATTACACCCTCCTCGGAAAGGCGCGTTCTCGCGCAGTGAAGAAAACAAAAAGTAAAAAAAAACAGAAGGAGGCGGAGGTTTAGGCTGAGGGCGTGGAGCTGGTGACAGATTGTGAAGAGGAGGAGTCGGTGGAGTTGCCGACCATGGTGGAGTTGACGGTGGGAGGAACCAGGGTGGAGTCGAGACTGAGGGGGCGGACGGAACCCTGGGAACAATCGGCGGAGGTGGAACCATGGTGAGAGGTGGAGGAACCGGTGGAACCGAGTGGGTGATGGACCATGATGACATCGCTGACCTGGAGGATGGGAGCCGATCCGCTGACTCGCAGGACTGAGGTGGTGACGTGAGGATGGATGACTGGGGTGACGATGTGGTGAGGGAGGCCGACGGGGAGGTCGGAGGAAGGGAGGAGTCCAGTGATGCTGAAGGGGTGCAGGGTGAGAGTGCAGCCCGAATCCCGGAAGTCCGTGGCTGTAGCTGGACGTCGACCGCCGAAGGCCGACCTGGAGTGGCGATCGAGCCCAGCGGAGCTTCCAGGCAGACGGATCGAGGAGGCGATGAAGGAGTGGTGGGTCGAGGTGAAGGCGACGGGCTGACAGGTCGAGATGGAGGTGTGGTACCGGAGGACCGAGGTGCAGCAGGGGACTCAGCCTCTAGCCGAGCTGGTGGCAGGGAAGCCCGAGGCGTGGAGGATGAGCCGCACGGAGTGAGCGGCGGTGGCAGAGCCGAGGAGCTTGACAACACCAGTGGTGCCGACGGATCCAGGGGGCTGGCTGTGACCAGCGATGGAGACGGGGTAAGGACAGGCAGGGATACGGGCAGAAGATTTCCGGACGGGACCGGCGAAGAAGAAGATGATGTGAGGGTGGGGACTTGGGCGGGAATTGGATCCGCGGACCACAGGTCGATCAGGTTACAGTCCGCTCCTGGCTCTGCGATGGACCTCTTCGCTTGCATCAACTCCAGGGCTCGATCTGGAATGACCTCGGTGGGCGCCTCGGGCTCGCTGGCTGTGAGGGAGAGGTCGCCATTCCGGATCATCTAAGCCAGGTAACCCAGATAGGGCCTGCTCTCCGGGCGGAGGAGAAGCTGCAGCATGGGTGAGTCCATCAAGTTTATTTTTCTCATTTTTGAGGGTTGGTTATTCTGTCACGGCTTGGCAGAAGAAACAGGCAGACGAAGGTAATTCCAAAAGAATACAAGGTTTTAATGTGACAGCGTGAGACATAAAACATGTACACACGAACAATAACCGACGAACTAACTAGATACAGGTGGAAGAAGGTTAACTAATCAAGGATAAACAGGAACAGGTGCAGACAAGACAGAACAGAATGTGACATTTGTATGTAGCCTAGATAATTAATTTATAGCAAAAAGAAAATAAATAGTACTAACAAATATTAAACTTACTTAACAAAATAATTAAAAAATAAATCACTTGGTCTACCCTTATGAAAAACAAGTATACTTCAAGTTCATTTTAATAAGTATCCATTAGTTGTAAGATGTATGTTATGTGCTCCCCTTTACATGTATATGGTTCTGTCCTGTCACCTAGTTTTCCATTTAGTCATTTAATTCACCTTTCTGGTTAAATCAACTTATAAGTTCCGTTTGTTTGGTCATGCTTATAAGCCTTCAGTTCTCCCTTAGTGTTTGTCAGTTCTTGTTAACATTAGCATGGGTTTTGCTCCTGCATCGATTTCCATAATATTGTTATTAAAGTCTATTTCCTAGTTTTAGTGTGCTTCATACCACGTACTCTGACATTAGTAAAGTTCGAGTATATTTTTTAGTATATCGAATATCAATGAACTATTAGTATACTTGTAAGTGTACTATTTGTATTTCATTACTACCTGGGACTAAATTGGCCCACTTTTTAGTGTATGAAAGTATACTTTTAAGAATGTTTTAAGTGTAACAGTTGTAAACTTTGAGTACACAACTGTTTTACAACTAAGTTTTTGTTTGTACTGCAACTGTACTACAAGTGAACTTATAGGTATACTGATAGTTTACCAATTATACTTGTAGCACATTTTTAGGTTATGAAAGTTAAAGTATACTCTCAGTAAACTACTAATTTAGTAGTTTTACACTGCAAGTATACTTGCAACCAGGGCCGGCGATTGCTATAGGCGAACTAGGCGGTTGCCTAGGGCGACAAATGTGTTGGGGGCGCGGGCGCCCTCTAGTGTCGCCCTTGGCCTATTTCCCACAGAATTAGAATGACAAGGGAAACAAAAACATGTTTATTAAACATCCTAAGGCGCCCCTCAGCCATACGTTTAATTACTTGTCAACCTGATTATTAGATTGAATGGATGATTATTGTCGATCATTTCCTAATTGGGGGGGGGGGGGGGGGGGAGGGGATGGTTAGTTGCGTTACGTTACGTTCTATGGTTACGTTAGGCAAGTGCTCAGCTGCTGGCGCTTTGATCGAAAATGAAGCGGTCTAAACCCTGCACAGGGACGAAAACGGAGAAAGCAACAAGATAAAAAGAAAGCCCAGTATAGAAGTAAGTCTTCTCATCTCAACCATTAAGGTGTCAAACGTTCTGGCCATCGGGACTACCGGGAGATTCCCGCGGGGCCGACGTGCTTTTTGGGCCGATACATAGCCTACTTTTATTTTTTATTTTTCTATTTTTGTTTTAACGGCCCATAAAACTCGTTGGCCTACATCGGTGGCCCATTCGTTTTGTTTTGTTTTGCTTAGTTTTGCGCAAAACTCAATATCGCCTAGGGCAACCAAAGGGTTAGAGCCGGCCCTGCTTGCAACTTTTCTTTATGTGAACATAACATCATACATATAGTTTTTATCAAAGACTACGTCTGGATGGGATTCAGAACGATGTTCAAAACACAGTAGATCGAGTCCATCGACACCCCCAAAACTTCAGTCGTTTCCTCTTCTTGGGTTCAACAATTCATTCAGTAATGTTTGGCAGTTTATATGCTGTTTTATTTTTGATGATTGCGTTCATTTACATTTGCATAAACATTGTTCTATCACTTGTTTCAGCTTCTTCTTCTTTTGTGTTTTGATCCGGAGATTCTGTACCAGAAGATGTGTAATAGCGCCCCCTACCGAAAAACAGTGAAAACATGGATAGCTGAAATATTAAGTCAGTGGCTGGGAAAAAAAGTAGTTTTAGCTTCTGGAGGTGTGCATGGAGAGCCAAAGGGATTTATAAAAGAAAACTGTGTTGTCACTCAGTCATCCGGATAGGCTGATTATCAATGCACTAGCCTTTTGAAATGGATTTGTGAAAAGAAAAGAAAAGAAAAAGAAAATAATATGCAATACATGTTTATTCTGAACATAAACATACAAAATGACTTAAACATCAGTCATTTTGACATTTCTCTCTTACTATGTACCCATTATAACATATAGTCATTTTCATTATTACAGCTTTGAATAGATTAACTTTCACATTAATCATATTTGTTATCTTGCTCTCATGCCTGTTACTCTTATTTGAATAAATAAACAAATAACAGGATGAACAGAACTGCAATCACACAAAAAAGAAAATATTTGCACTTAATTGTGTACTTTAGACTTTACATATATAACGACACAGTGATTCTGTGATAATAAATGCATTTAAATAAACACAATCTGAAAGTGACTTACCTTTAAGTTCCTTTATGCATCAATACTTGAAACATTTCCTCAAAATAGTTCCTTTGTGTATAAAAACTTGACACACAAACACAGATGAGGAACAAAACACAGTTCACTCCAGGAGAGAAACTAGTACCAAAACTGTCTGAAAGTGTAAAATAAACTATAGAAAGTAGTACAACCTGAAAAATGAACAGAGAAGATGGACAAACCACTGATGTCTACGAAAATGGTGACGCTACAAAAGGTAAGATTGGAAGAGATCATAGACTCAACGCAAGTGCCGAGATAAAAAATTCACTCAGTTTTCATGCTTTCAGTTAATGTGTGCTTTCTTTATGGATAAATACAGAAAATAACATCATGTCTCTGTTGTTCAGGAAGTGATTGTATGAGGATCCAAAGCTCCAGAGCAGCTCTAGTGTGTTTGGTGCTGCTCTGTGCTCTTCTGCTGACCGCAGTCATAGTGCTGGGCGTCATGTTCGCTCAAGAGAGACAACTAACCAACAATACCACAGAAAAGAGAAACCAGCTGCTAACCACGATTACCAACTTAACTCAACTAAACGTACAGTTAAATCAGGAGAAAAATGACCTGTCAAAAAATCTTGGAGAAAGGGGTAAGCTTGAAGTAGGCCTATATTGAAACTAAACAATCAAGTGTCTTTTTTTTTTTTTTTTAAAGGATAATTTACTAATTATTTAAGTGAGAAATTAAGTTTGTAGATCAGGTTGATGGGAATAAAGTGCTTAAACCTAAACTGGTTGTGTTTACAGATGGATGGATTTACTATAAATCCAATCTTTACTTCCTTTCCTCTGAGACGAAGAGCTGGACTGAGAGCAGAAGATACTGTACAGAGAGAGGAGCAGATCTGATCATCTTAAACAACAGAGAAGAACAAGTGAGTAAACTCTAACTGGATAGTTTATATTGTTAATTCTCTTTAAGACCTAAATGTGTTATTGTTTCATTTTCTCAGGATTTTGCTATTTGGAAAATATATGCTGGTGTTAGAGTGTGGATTGGTCTGACTGACAGTGATTTGGAGGGCAGATGGAAATGGGTTGATGGCAGCATACTGACCTCTGGGTGAGAAAGGACTGAACTGAACTAATTATTATCTAATAAATGATTCTCACAATCAGTATCATATCACACAGATGTTGATATGTTGATGCAGGTTCTGGGCAAGTGCAGAGCCTAATGGACAAACAAGAGAGAACTGTGCCCTAAATTATGGACCAGGATGGGCTGATTATCCATGCAATGATATTTTTCAATTTATCTGTGAGAAGAGAATTTTGAATTAAGTCAATGAACATCTCAGGTTATAACCCTGTTCCCTGAAAAAGTGGGAACGAGATGCTGCCCGAACAGTGCTATGGGGAAAATATTTTTTCACTGGTTGTGAACACGTGTGGCAAATACGCCAAGAATTTGGCTTAAAAATATGAATTTCAACTTTATTTTGTTTTAAAGAATGTCACATTAAAATATTATTCAAATATTGTATGTCACTTGAGATACATAATGTGCTAGCTATGAAAGTAACATTACATTTCCATGTGAATGCGACTACAGACACTTCTCACTTCTTTTTCAGATTGTTTTTTTACTCAGAACAATCAATAAAAAAAAAAATCACACATCTAGATTAATTACATTAGCTTCAGCTTCATACACTCTCCTGGACTTGGGACCGGGATCAAGGAACAGTTAGAGGAAAAAAAAAAGTACTAAATAACTTTAAGTACTATATATATATATATATATATATATATATATTTTTTTTTTTTTTTTTTTTACGTTAAGCACTTTAAGAAAGTCCAGCAACGTTTGATGTCAGTATAGTGACAACATTTCTCTCTGACATCCATTAGTATCGGACCCCTTGTGAATGAGAATGTGTTGACTTTTTAACAGGAACAAGAGGGGAGGGATCTCGCCTGTCACCATGTTGGGACAGGTGTTCTGCAATGCCCATTTCAGTTATATCGTTTCAGAGACATGGCTCTCGAAAGTGTGGGAGAATCAATATTTTTACTATAGAAAACTTGTTAATTGACCTTTCAGCTTTAATCTGTCCATTTTTAGTTTTGGTTTGTAAAGATGCAAAACTAAACAAAAATCTGAAAAGAAGTCAATGTTTTATTTTGTGCGCAGGAAATTTGTGTATATGATTTTAATTAAAATGTTGGTATTCAACATAGCATTTAAAAATACATCAACCGTTCTATTTTTGTTTTTCTCACTGTGGTTAAAAAAGGAATGGACTAAAAATTACAAGGACCGGCCAGATCTAAAATAAATACAATGATTTACCTGAGAAACATTAAAGGGATAGTTTGCCTAAAAATGAAACATTTGAATGGTGACTACTTTCAAACTTAAAAAAAGACACAAACCTATTATACAATTATCCTATATTTACTGAATAAACTTTTAATGGAGGGACATAAATCTCTTGTTGTGAGTTTGGAATGACATGAAAGTGAGTAATTAATGACTGAATTTTCATTTTTGTGTGAACTATAACCCTTAAACAAATATATAAAAAAAAAAAAAAAAGTGTTCCATTTAAAAATTATTTTAGCTAACTGGACTGACACCAAAAAAACAACAAAAAAAACTTGAACATAAAATGATCAGCTGTCTGATGTACCAGCAACAACCTAAAATTTTCCCACACCACCCACCATTAAAATTAGCATCAATCCTCATTTAAATAAACACAATGCGGACTGTTGAAACAAATATTTCTGGTGACCTTCTTCAGTGTGTTGAAGTTCCTTTATCCACAAACAGTTCCTTTCTGAATAAATACTGACCACACAAACACAGATGAAGAACAAAACAGTTCACAGGAGAGAAACAACTACTAGTTTCTTGGCATCTTGACAACAACAAAAAAGTCTAAAAGTGTAAACAAAAAAATAAAAAGGGGTACAACTCAGAAAATGCACAGAGAAGATGGGAGAAAAACATTGATGATGTCTAAGAATATAGATGTTGTAAGAGGTGAAGTTGGAAAAGAGATCAAACTCAACTTAATGAAAATCCAGTCATCTGAACTCACAGGGACTGAGATTAATCATGTATACATTTTAGTATTGGTCACTGTATGATATACTATTTTACCACTTTAAAATTATTTTTCATTTAGTTAAATGACTTTAACCATTTCTACTGCACTTATATTGTCTAGGCTTGTGAATGATGGTATGGATAAAGGTTTAATGATGGAATCAAAAGACAGAATAGAGAAGAGGCATCTACATCAGTGCAGAGACTGTAAGAGATATGAAACTTAAGATTGTACTTTTCTTGTAAATAGAAAGTGAAAGATCATGAAAATATTAATACATCCTGTGGAAAAAGAATACAACATTAAAATTGTATGCTAACATCTAACAGCCACGGACCATTTCAACTAAAAAATAAACATTCCTGGAAGTACCAGCATTCGAAATAGGACCATTAGCATAATTGAAAATAACTGTAACACATCTGGCAATGGACGTCCTGAATTCTAATGAAACCTAATTGCAATAAAGTCTAGCATTTCTATTTTCCACTCTTACTAAAGTTTTCATATTTTTCCCAAACAGAATGGGTCACATGGGTTATTGCAAATGAACATTTCAAAAGCGCTCAAACATCTTAGTGTATGAGTTTAATAAATTAATATTTAAAAAAAGAAATTCTCTCTTGGGTTTAGGAGCCCATGTTCCGACTGGATGATTTGACAGCATTAAAGCTATATTTCTGGCATGGGACATGACCAAGAGACTGAACCAAGGATCATCCACTGAAGACTGCATCAAAGTTTAGCGTATGACAGCAGGATGACGAATACATTTGCATATATTGAAATAATGAAATGCTGTTGGCTTTCAGGCAGTTAAAAGGTGCTGGGTCTTGAATGTCTCACTTTTAGTTATGCTTCATTCTGTTGGATCTATCAGATCTAATGAGACTTTGGAAGAAGAAAAATGTTCGCAAAACTTTTCAGTTTTACTAGTGGATGAAGAGAATTGATAAATGAATGAGCTATTTACAGATCAATTCACTAGACGCTACATTTTCTTATCAATGTATTTAATTGGTACATTTCACTGTGTAATAGGCGGGATAACGTACAGTCAGCTGGCCATTTTTACAAAATTGGTTGAAGCCAGATCACTTTTCATGGGTCATTTTTAAATAAATAAATAAATTCATAGTAATCCTTCTTTAAAAATCAATAAGGCATTCAAGGCCTTGCTATATGGTGAACATTGTTGCTAACTAAGAATTACCGTTTCATCTAAAGATGACACCTCTGCCCCCACAATAAACACAATGTATGGAAATGGTCTAATTATAATGTTTAATGTCAGGAAGGAACATATATAACCAGCTCGCGATGCCAAGCATGATGTGTGCCCAGCGACACCAGTTGTGAAAAACACTTGTCTGCGTTGTGTAGCGTTGTGGAGTTATTGGACCGAGCGGCAACCTCCCTGTCTCTCTCTTGAAACCAATACGGAAGTGACTTAAACTGCAATTCAACGACTGGCCACTGGAGGCTGGATGCAAAAGGGAGTCAAATCTCTATCTCCCCCATGTTAAAATGCCCAACTTTACAGCAGAAAAAAAATGTGTTTACGGCCTGGTACAAAAAGTGGTTTTAGTCTATATAGCTAATTTTGCCCTTCATGACAACTGTGAGGGGGTGATTTTTTTTTATAACTCATCCGTTTAAATTATATTTAGCTTTAAAGTTCTGCATAATTAAGGGCGTGGCCACTTGAGTGACAGGTGGATTGCCGCTGCTGTCGCTAATAGCCGTTTGTCTGCTGTCTGTTAGCCGTCACGTCACCTAAACTAATTCCAGCTGCTGAACTTGCCATCTCTGCCGTGTTTGTGCTTTTTTCGGGATTATTTCATACAATTTAATACACGCATCGGCATTATACCTTCGCCCACGCCGTTGGATTCCGTCGTTGTCGAGTATCGAGAGAACAACCAGAGCTGTTTTTCAGTTGTTTTCCTCTGTGAACATGCACTAATGGATGTCTGACAAATTCGTTGCTTTTTGGAGTTGAGATGTAAAAAACGTCTATAGATATAGAGGATAAACTCGAACTTGACGTGCTATGCCGCGCTGACTGACATGTATGCGCATGAATCACTGTCACACACAGACACACACGCTCAGAGCAATATTACTGCATGCATAATAAATTGACTAGCAGAATAATACAGCATCACGATACACACAGTCTCATTTTTAGCTATGTCTTTTAACTATTATATTTCGAAGAGCAAAAACATGAACTTTAACTATTGGCTTTACATCATCAAGTCAGCTGTCACAGCCCTTGTGATTGTACTATGGTAGTAGCATATAGCATTATTAGCTCCTTAGCCTGAGCAAACTCGATCACGTCGAGCTATGCGGGCATGGTTTCAGCATTTAGGCACCTCAGCTCCACCCACGTCCCGCCTCTTTGCCCATTTTCTGTTATCAGCCCACTTTTAGCTTCAAAAATGCTCTTCAGAAACCTACGGGTGACGTCACAGACGCTACGTCCATATTTTTTTACAGTCTATGTGTTGGACACAGACATAGGACAGCAGTTTCGCTGGATCTTTTATTTCCTGATACAACAAACAAATAAGCAGCATCTTGGAGAGTGAATCGCCCTTGTTTTCTCTCCCACTCAGTTGCAATGCAAAAGGGCAAAAAAGCAGTGGTGGTAAGTAACGAAGTAAAAATACTTCGTTACTTTACTTAAGTATTTTTTTCGGGGATCTGTACTTTACTTGAGTATGTTTTATTTGCATCTACTTTCACTCTTACTCCACTACAATATTAAAGACAAAGTTGACTTTTTACTCCGATACATTTCCCCATGCCCGCTCCAAGTATTTATTACACTGGCTTTCCAAACCAATGAAAAACTTGGTTTTCTTTTGAAAAAAAGAACGCACGAGCTCTTTGCCAGTATATGCTCACATAGCAGTCAGTTTGCGAAGTTGAAGATGACTGCAGAAACAGGTGAAGGTGCAGCTCTCGCTCCCAGCAATGATCCCGAGATTCCCGACAGGCATCACCCATGGCCATATCTCAATGATATGTTCGAATTCACTGAAGTCAAGGAAGATTCTTATCGGCTGAAATGTCTTCTTTGCCTGCCACGGGTGAATAAAATTTCAGCATTCAAAACTTCTCCCTCAAATCTGAGAAAACATATTGAGGTGAGTTGACGTTAAAGCAACACTAAAGAAGATTTTTTATTTTTACCTTAAAATAATGTTTGCAAAATAGTTTCAGCGGTTCATCAAGACGTAACAGGGTGAAAGGCACTTCTGCCTTCGCTTTGCGGTCCTATATCTGCTATAACCACACTACGTAAGTTTGCCAGATCGGGTCGCGTTCCTGTAGTTCGAAT